CACACACACACACACGGGCATATTCAATTGTGCTCGTAATCTATGGAAACCACAAACTCAAACACACAAATATACAAACTCTGCTCTCTTGTATCTGCGAGCATGCATATGTCTTGGGAAATGTTTTCATACCCTGTAGGATGAGAAGTTATAGAATGAGAGCTCCGACGACCAGAGTTTTCAGTTTTAATGTTTTTTTTTTTGTATAGATATATCACAAGTATTTAATAAATCATTGTGCTGAACAATAAGCATATCTGTTTTTCGAGGTTGAGGCTGTCTTTACAAAATACATCAAGAGCTGATCAAAATGTAACTTTCAATGACAAATTGAACATTTCAATTTTCACTGGGGAATACCCTAGCTGTGAGGAGTATGAGTAATTTATATCTCGTTCGAGTGACAATACGAGAAGTGTTTTAACTGCTGAACTTATACTTCAGCCATTCCCAGAGCCTCGGCATAAATCCACAAATCAAATGATGCTCTGGCGACTTGAACGGACACCCTACATAGGCAAGACATATATGCATGTATATTTGGCTGGATCAACATTATATATATCATTTTTATTCTGGACAGTACTTAGCACATATGTATACTACATTAAGGCATAGCATGAAATACGGGCGAAGACGGAGGTAAAAGTTGTGATCTCTTCAGGCTCTGAGCACACCCTGACTGACCGATCTGACGTGAACTGTTCTGGCTGCGTGGTATTAGAATCCGCTGCCCATTTGGTGCAGTGGATACATTGGGATAATGGAATCCAGGCGCATATTACGTCTGATGGCGCACTCCTGATACTCACGCCATGTTTTAAACCTGGCCATGTCGTGACACTCCTCGGAATTGCCCGACTGATAGATGTGCATGCGCAACTCGTTCCAGATGGGTCGACTTTTGATTGGGAAGCTATAGACCTTTCGCACCAACCAATTCTTGACAATGGGCACATTATATATTGTCGATGCGCTTGCGCAGACCGTGGGGAGCGGGCCACTGATGAGAGAAGAAAGAAATAATACATGAAAATAAAAAACGGATTTTTATCTGGGAAATATCGAATCAGAAATTCTACAAATAAACTATTATAGGTTCTCTTTCCCGATATATCTAATTAACGCAAGCACTTACTCTGGATAGAAAATTTTCTGAGCATTGGAGTCGACTTTGTCAGCCTGGATGGTCTGTCCGGCGACAAAGCGAGTATCTTGACCAATTTTTCCAAAGGTAACGCCCCACAGGTTGTACACCCAGTTGCCGTTGCTATCTTTGATGAATCGTGGAAGTCCGTTCAGCGAATTTGGAGCACCAGGAGGGACGGCATTAGCACCACCTCCGCCACCAGCACCAGCACCAGCACCATTTCCTCCAGTACCAGTATCAGTTCCTCCAGC